TGCTCAACATCATTAATCATTAGGGAAAAGCAAATCAAAACCACAGTGAGATATTACTTCATAGCTATTTAGATGGCTATGATAGAATAGGTGAAAGATGACAAGTGTAGGGGAGGGTGTGGAGAAAAGGAAACGCTTGTATACTGTTGGTGGGAATGAAATAAGTACAGCCATTATGGGAAACAATATGGAGGTTCCTAAAAAAATTAAAAATGGAACTACAATATGATCCAGCAACCCCAATACAGGGTCCATAGCCACAGGAAATGAAATCAGTATGCTGAAAGATGTTCTGTGTTTCCATTACTGCAGCATGTTCACAGCAGCCAGGATAGGGAAACAACTTAAGTATCTGACAATGGCTATTTTTCTTAGCTATCATTCTCTTGATTTTCAGAGAAAATGATTTCTTTTCTTTGCAGACTCAAATTTTATCATTTTATGCAATTCAATTACATTATGTAAGTATGAGGTATACAGTAGAAATAAAAGTTTGTGAACAAACATAATTGACTCTTGGGGAGTATTCCACTTAGCAGTTGGAAGCAGATATGTACGAGTAAACCAAAGTGAAGGCTACTAGCTATGAGTCTTCAGTATTTTATGAAAATTGTTTGGCATATTTCAGAAAGGGAATCAAGAATATTACTTAAGTAGATGATGATTAGAAAAACTTCTACTGTATGCACATATGTATGTCCTGGGGACAGAGTTCATGTTGTCATCTAATTTTTGGAGGGATCTATGATCATTAAAATGTTAAGTGCTGTTAACTTAAAAATTACACAATTTACAAATCTAAGATAGAAGAGAAGAATTTATTTCTTACAAAGTGTGACAGACTGCAAGGTGACCATTCCACAAGACGGGAAGTGTGCCTTTAGCCAAAATCAGAGATGGGCACTTTGAAGAAGAAGGGGTTGGAATAGGAGCTTTATGCTTAACACGTTGGCTAAACATGCATATTCAACAGGTTATAGGAGGAGCAATGAATATTCATGAAGCTGATCCTGACACATGCATGTTGAACAAACATACCTGTAACATATGGCCATGTTCACTTTTGGATGAAGATTTAACATTTAAATATATTACAATTGGGCCTTATACATCAAAATGTTTTTTCAGGTCATGAAGTCACACTGATGTGCAACTTCTGTAAACCAATCAGGACTACCCCATGGTCAGTGGTATTCTTATCAGAAGAAAGTTACTAAAACAAGTCTTTTATCCAACAAAAGCTGTAGTTGTAGTTTGTGGAACATGGGATCAGTTAGTCAGCATCTGGTGAAGCTGCAAACTGTTCTAATATTGCTTATCTGAAGGCCAGTGTTTGTTTAGCTGCTAAAGAAAAAGAAAAATCTTGTGACAGAACATAGTTTATTCTTTAAGTGTAGGGTACATTACTTAACTCTTGCCTGGCACAACCTTAGGTCCTGATTATAATTTGGTATCGTGTTGTCACAAATAATCTGTTCTGCCAGTTTTGCAATCTTTGTTTTAACATCAGTGCTGGTCAGTTGTGTTTAAAAAGGGAGGGGGTAAAATAAGGCCTGTCTAACCTCTCATTCTATCATGGCTAAGTTTTTAAGGCTTTTCTGGATCCCTCTGGCTAAGAGGTGGTCTGTTCGGTCTGTGGGGAGCTTAAGATTTTATTTGTAGCTTAAAGTACCATAGTATAAATTAAAATCCAATCCATGAGGCCAGGTTAAGGAATAAACACTTTCTCTTCCGGTAATCTATTTTTGGACACTTGTGCATCCACATTTTTCATGAAGATTCTTTTCTTTCTAAAAAATAAATTCATGCAAACAGATGCTTCTGAGCTCATGCCAAACCAGCTCATCAGAAATATTCACTCTAAATAACCTGGTGCCTAGTGTTCTTAGTACAGTCCAATGTGATGTAATGAAGACAGGTTGATAAATTACTGATGCATTCAGTGGCAACATTTCACTAAGAAGGCTGTTCTGCTTTACACATCTGAAAGTCAGTTAGAAAGTAACATGGTTTGGATGTTTCCTCCCCTCCAAATCCCATGGTGAAATGTGACCTCCAGTGTTGGAGGGGGGCCAAGTGGGGATGCTTGGGTGTTGGGGCCAGATCCTTCAGGAAGGCCTTGGTGCTATCCTCACAACAGAGTGAATTCTCACTCTATGAGTTCACAGGAGATCTCGTTGTTTAAAAGAGCCTGAACTTAAAAGACAGTCTCCTCCCTCTCTCTTGCTCCCTCTCTCCATGTAACAGGCCTGTTTCCCCTTTGCCTTCCATCACGATTGTAAGTTTCCTGAGGTCCTCTCATCAGAACCAGATAGCAGCATCACACTTCCCGTACAGCCTGCAAAACTGTGAGCCAAAATAAACCTATTTTCTTTGTAAATTATCCAATCTCAATTATTCCTTTATAGTAATGCAAAATGAATGCAGAAAGAGAGTCTGCATTTCCTAACTTCAGAAACTATATTATCTGTAGTTTCCTTTGTGGTACCTTTGTAAAGCCAAAGGTTGTTAAACAATTTAGTGTTCTTGTTAAAGTATAACGTTATGTAATGAACGTGGGCTAATAAATTATTATGCATTAAATGGCAACGTTTCATTTAAAAAATTCTAACTTGCAATCTCAGTTTAGAATCTTCCAAGTGAATGAGGATCCCTAACTCTGTCAGGTCAAATGTCACCCCCTCAGAGGAAGTGAGTGACCATGCTGTCTAAAGTAACAGCTTCCATTAATTTTGATTCTCTTACCCTGTTTTTTCTTCATAGTATTCATCACTATCTGACATTATATATCTATTTATTATTAATTTTCTATCTTTTTACTAGTATGTAAGCTTCGTTAAAGCAGAGACTATTTCTTTATCAATGTATCTCCTCTGCCTACGACAGTACCTGACACTTACCACTGTTACATAATGATTTATTGAGTAAATGACTAAATGGTTTGTTTCCATGCTCATGTTCCAGCCAGACACATAGGCAGGTATTGTGGCTTATCTCTGAATTCCTTGGCACTGACTGGCTGGCATAGAACCTTGTAAAAAATGAATAAATAAATTACCGTTTGATCAGTGTGCCTGGATAGAGAAGACATGTGGGAATGCAGCACCCCAGGATGTACTATTAATATACTTATATACCATGGAATGGTATGCAGCCATAAAAAATGAGTTCACGTCCTTTGCAGCGATATAGGTGAAGCTGGAAGCTATCATTCTCAGCAAACATACACAGGAACAGAAAGCCAAACACCACATGTTCTCACTCATAAGTGGAAGTTGAACAATGAGAACACATGGACACAGGGAGGGGGACATCACACACCCGGGCCTGTTACAGGGTGGGGAGCAAGGGGAGGGAGAGCCTTAGGACAAACACCTAATGTATGTGGGACTTAAAACCTAGATGACGGGTTGATAGGTGCAGCAAACCACCATGGCACATGTATACCCATGTAACAAACCTACATGTTCTACAGATGTATCCCAGAACTTAAGGTAAATTAATTTTTAAAATACACTTAAAATTCATTTTTTTAACTAGATTGTCTCTTGAGGTTTACTTATGACTTCTTTGAGTTGCCAGGAGTGAGTGCACATTTCTTGGGAATCCCTAACTCACCAAGAATACAGACCACTTGTAATAGCTAAGGTATATTCAACAATAAAATTTTAGAGACTCAGGGTACTTGATATTTGCTTATAGCATTTCACTTTTGAGCTTTTATTCATTTAATAAATGTTTTATCATCTTCTATGCTCAAGAACATTTTTAAGTGTCCATTAAAATCATTTCACTGGGCAAAACAATGTTCCTTTCCTGATATCCCTCATCAGAATAGCCATTTTGTCTCTGTGCCTATACCACCGGTTATTGTTTATTTCCTGTCTTTGTAATAAGCAACATAGTTATTTATACATGCCCATTTCTCCCATAGCACATAAGCTCTTTAAGTTGGGGACCCATGTGTCATTATTGTAACATCCCTTTCCATTCCCAGTTTTTAGCAAGATGTGTTATACGAAGTAGACACTCAAAAAACTTTTTAAAATTTAAGTTAAAATTATTTTTATTTACATAATCTGAGTCACTTTTTAAAAAAAAAAACCACCTACAGTATTTTAATTTCATTTTAACTTTGTCCAGTGTCCTATGTACATTTGAAGTTTAACTACCAGAAAAGGCTTTTCAAGGCAGATGGAATCACGTCTTTTTTCCCCTTAAAAATCCCTCATTTGTATCGTTTGATCTTCATGTTATTCATATAATAGATAAAGTGGCCCAGTTAGCCACTTTGAAGTGGCTAAGCTGGTATGACAAGTCAGTCCCCTCTGTTTTAACTTGTTTAAGGAAAGTCACTCTGAAACGACCAATCTTTTGGTACCTTATTTCTGCTTTCCTCCGTCCTCTTCTGGCTATGAAGCCACCCTCCTCTGCTAAGCTGTCCCTGGGAATGGGAGCTGCCCGATTCACGTGTAGCAAATCAAAGCCAATTCGATCTGCGGTAACTTTGGTTTTCAACAACTTGTCCTCTGAAAAGCCTTCTGTCCATGTTTACCCTCATCTTGCCACCATTTAGATCCCTACATAAACCGGCTCACTGAGCCTCCAGCCATTCAGCGCTAGAAAAGCAGCGTCTACGCGTTAAAACCTTGAGCACCTGTTTGGGAACGTCTGTGCTTCCTCCCTCGAGGGCGAAAACGCCCCCGACCCGCGAGTCAAAGGAAGTGTCCTCTATTACCCTCAACGCAGGGAACCCGTTCTAGAAATGTTTGCATCAACACCGTAAACCTGCCTGGTACCACTCTAAATGACAGTCACCAGAGACAGTTTACAAAGAAAGCAAAAAAAAAAAAAAACAACAAATGTAAAACCCGAAACGCCATCCTCCTCCCCCTGGGTCCAGGAACCCGGCGCCCAGCACTCCCCCCAGCCAGAGGACGGAGGGGGCGTGGCCGAGCGCGCGGGGCCCACGTGACCGCGGAGAGCCACGCGCAGGCACGTCGCGCGATCTGCCGTCATATCAGCTTATGGCGCTGGCCGCTGATTGGCTGGCTGCTCTATCCTCGGGCGCCGGCTCGGCCCCTCCCAGCCCGGCCTGTTGGCTGCCAACCTGCCGGGGCAGTCTGCAGAGCAGCGGCGTGCGGAGCAGCGGCTGGCCACCTCCAGGTGGGGTCGGTGGGTGGGCGGGGAAGGAAGCGGAATACACCTGAGCGGGCCGGGCCGGGGAGCGGTGGAATGAGAGGGACAGAGACTTCAGCGCCTGGGACTCGGGCGGGCGAGGCTGAGGGTGTGCCCGGAGCTCGGGTTTTCTCCGCGCCGCGGGCGATTAGCGAGTGCCCTCTGGATGCCAGGCGCTGGGCGGGTGCTAGGAACGCGGTGGTGAAACGGATCAGAGTCCTGCGCCGAGTGGGAGGATAGGCTGGTAGGTAGCCGGGCGTCCCGGGGGGTGGCGGTGAGGGCTGTGCCGGGGGAGCTGCGGGCGTGCGGCTGCGCCACCTGGGAGCCCAGGAGGGATCGCGGGGCCCATGGGAGGCCTGGCCGTGAAAGAGCCGACCGTGGACGGGCTTGAAAATGCAGTGTTTTATGCTGGGTGTTTCACGTCTCTTACTGAAGGGAAGTCTGGTCTGGCTGCTGAACAGGAATGCTTTACTATTCCCTTCGTTCTTGCAGGAGTTTTTTTCTTTTAAGTTCCAAAGGAATCAGGCTCAAGAACTGGTCGGTATCAGAACTCCTGACCATTGCAGTGCAACCTTCTGTTACTGCAGCTTAATTAGGAGGGGCAACAATCTGGGATTGAGGAGACTAAAAGGAAACGGGAAATAATCTATTCCTTTAGCATCATAAAAGGAAAAATAATGTATGCTACCATCCCTGTGTTACCGCAGAGTAGATTTGGAGGTGGTACAAGTGAAGAAAACAAGACCTCAGTAGATAAAGTTTCCAAACTGGAAAGTTTGTGGCAGCTTGGTACTTTTAAAGGAAACTCTCTGGGAAGTTGTCTTTATATCACTATCATTTTTTTTTAAGAGTTTCTAACGATTAATACTTGATAAATAATAAGGATCACCTATTGATCTTTGATCATTTACAGAGTGCTTTTCCATTCATTATGTAATGTAATTAATTAGCATGGTACGCAGAATTCCTCATCTGTATATAAAACTTTTGTTTGTTTTTGTTTTTTGAGATGGAGTCTTTCTCTGTCACCAGGCTGGAGTGCAGTGGCATGATCTCAGCTCACTACAACCTCTGCCTCAGGGTTCAAGCGATTATCCTGCCTCAGCCTCCTGAGTAGCTGGGACTACAGGCATGCGCCACCATGCCCAACTATTTTTTGTATTTTTAGTAGAGGTGGGGTTTCCCCATGTTGGCCAGGATGGTCCCGATCTCTTGACCTCGTGATCTGCCTACCTTGGCCTCCCAAAGTGCTGGCATTATAGTCCTGAGCCACCACGCCTGGCCAAACATCTTGATAGGTAACATAATGTGGTAGCAAAGAGAAAGGGTTCTGGATTGTACATCCCAGCAGGTTTTTTGTTATTGTTGCTTGTTACTGAACAAGTAATTTAAATACTCCTCACCTCAGTTTCCCTGTCTATAAAGTGGGAATTATAGAAGTACCTATCTCATAGAGCTATAAAGATTAGACGAGGTTATACAAAAATACCTGGTTCTCAATGAATATTATTTTCTATACTTTTTTTTTTTTTCTTTTTTGTGATGGAGTTTTGCTCTTGTTGCCCAGGCTGGAGTACAATGGTGCAATCTCAGCTAACCACAACCTCTGTCTCCCAGGTTCAAGCGATTCTCCTGCCTCAGCCTCCCAAATAGCTGGAGTTACAGGCATGCACCACCACGCCTGGCTAATTTTGTATTTTTAGGTAGAGATGGGGTTTTTCCATGTTGGTCAGGCTGGTCTTGCACTCTCGACCTCAGGTGATCCACCTGCCTCAGCCTCCCAAAGTGCTGGGATTACAGACATGAGCCACGGCACCTGTCCTATTTTCTATACTTTTTAAGTGAAGCAAAAAGATAATAGTAGACTGAGTTGTTCTAAGCCCAATATTGTTATTGTAACTGCATTTTAAGAAAAGGTTTCTTTAATTCTCCAAGGACAAAATATTTAAGCTTCTGTTTGAAGCAGTGATACTTAATTTAGGGTCTTTGGAACCCCTTACTTCAGGGCTTATAACCCCTTAAAATTATATGAGCTTGTAGAGGCACTGAGAATTAAAAAGAAAATTCAGGGATTACAACCTGAAGTAATGGTGAAGAGGCAGTAGAACTTGGCAGAAGTTCACAGACTTTGCAACCAGATTGTGTGTATTTGTGTATTTGCATCCTAGCTCTAGCATTTATTTACTCTTATGACCCTGTGCAAGTTACTTAAAATTTTTGTATCTATAAAAGATAAAAAAGTCCAGCTTCTTTATCTATAAAATAATACTAATACCTAACTTTTGGGGTTTCTCAAAAGGGTTAAATGAGTAAATATATGTACAATATTTATATTACCTAGTATGTAGTAAATATTACTATGTACTAGTAATATTTAACTGCTATCAATTATTTTTCAAAGAAAAATCAAGTGGTACCTGTTTTATCTTCATTGAAGTAATTTTGACTCATTTTTGACTGCCTTAATGATAACAATATAGGTGCTATTTTATTGCGTACCTTTTGTAGGTCAAATGATGTCCAAAGGCTACTTAGTTCCTAAACTTTATGGCAATCAAACATAATGTTTGTGTCCTTTTTGGTTGCACCATATACTGTTCTAGGTATTGTCTTGAATTAGGGCTACCTGGCACTGTAGGGAACATGGAGATTGGTTCATCAACTCTTACTAACCTTTAGTGATGTAGCAATATCCTTTTCAATTTTTAAATGTTTATCTTCCTCTGGTACTATGTACTTGGTACACTGTCCCTGCTACACCACCTCCCTTGACAGTCCTCACCCTTATCACTTCAACTACTACCTGTATACAACTAGCCTCGCTTGTGAACTTCACATTTATGTTTACATGTGGCCTATTGCTTATGTCTAGGATATAAGATGAGCCGGATAATTAGATTTTAAGATCTGCATTGAACCCATTGTGAACCCCAGGTATCAATTTAGGAAGTTTATTTTGCCAAGGTTAAGGATGCATCCGTGTCACAGCCTCAGGAAGTCCTGACAACATGGGCCTAAGGTGGTCCGGGATATAGTTTGCTTTTATACATTTTAGGGAGACATGAGACATCAATCAGTATGTGTAAGACGTACGTTGGTTGGGTCTGGTAAGGGGGGACAACTCACAGTAGAGGATTCCAGGTTATAAGTAGATAAGAGACAAAGGTTGCATTCTTTTGAGTCCTTGATTAGCTTTCCACTGCATACACAATTTAGTCTGGCTCAGTAAATCTGCATTTTTACATAAACAGTAGGGCAGAAGAAGCAATCAGATATGCATTTGTTTCAGGTGAGCCTCAGAGGGATGACTTTGAGTTCTGTCTGTCCTTTGTCCTCAAAGGCATTTTCTGAGGGCAAATTACTAGGGAGAGATGTAGCTTCTTATTTTTGTAACTATCTTATTTAGGAATAAAATGGGAGGCAGGTTTGCCTAACATAGTTCCCACCTTGACTTTCCTCTTAGCTTAGTGATTTTGGAGTCCCGAGATTTATTTTCCGTTCACACCATCATTCCTTACCTATCTCCTATTCCTACCCTACCCAAATCTGCTAGCTCTGACAGTATTCCCTATTTCAGTTACAACGACATCACCATCTACTCAGACCAGCTAAAAATCTCACAGTCATCCTAGATTTTTCTGTCTTTCATATTCCAGCATCTGTAGGTTATCCAAATCCTGTGGATGTTTTTACTTGTGAAATCTCTGCTGGCTAGTCTAACAGCCACTGCCTGAGGTCAGGCTGTCATTTTCTCTGGGTTAGTCTACCACAGGAACAACCAAACTAGTCTCCCTTCTTCTCACTGATAACTCATATTTCTTTTCTTTATTTTTTTGTAGTGACAGAGTCTTGCTGTGTTGCCCAGGCTGGTTTCGAACTCCTGGCTTCAAGTGGTCCTCCTACCTCAGCCTCCCAAAGTGCTGGGATTACAGGCATTAGCCACCTCTCCTGGCCCAGTACTCCAGATTTCTAATGCAGTGGTATTTTTATGAAATATGAGTCTAATTGTATCTTTTTTTTTCCTCCCCAGAAATCTTTAGTGTCTCCCCATAATGTGTGAAAGAAAGTCCAAATTCCTCAGCAGGATAACAGATCCCTCCATACATAGTCTAACAGCAATCTCCTTTACAAGTCCATTCCCTAACATGTTTTTTCCCTTCGTTCCACCCCTATCACTCTAATGCCCAGCAACCACTCCCAGTGAGCCATGAATACACCATGCTCTTCCCTGGCTTTGCAGTTGTGATTTCTCTTTGGAATGGCTATCCCTAACCTTTTCTTTCTGATGATATCCTTCCAAGTCCAAATCTAATGTCATATTCACTAGGAAGCCTCTTACCATAAACTGAGATAGTTGTGTTGTCTTTGCTGGTTTTATAGAATTTGCATATATATCTGTATTACAGCACATGTCATATTTATATAATTGTTTTTGTAATTGCCTTACCTTCAAAACTGATTTAGACTGTGTCTTTTTAATGTTTGTATGCTTACTACCTAGTGTAGTGCTTAACACTTAATAAGTTCTTATTTGAATGAATTAACAATGGCATGTATGATGAGGGATATACGTTGATATCTGGCATTCGGTGCTAATTAAATTTTTATTTCCCTGACAAAGTGAGGAAATGTTTATAATTCATATCATAAATGGACCACCAAACTCCCTAATATATAAGGAGCTTCTAGAATTTGACTTTTGTAAAGATACTAAAAATCCAGTGGGAAAATGTACAAAGATAAAAATGGATAAATGCAGGAAATAAAACAAATTATTCTAAATTTATGGGGTGATGCTCAACTTTACTTATAATAAGATAGATTCAAATTAAGTATACCCTGATATAACCCTTCTTTCCTGATGAATATGTGGATGTTTGGTGATATCCCCTGTTAGTAAGATTGTAGAGAAGTAGGTAAAGTACTGTCCTACATCATTTGAGGACTGCAAAATAGTTACAACCCTATGGAGAGAAATTCAGAAGTAT